TTTGTTGTTGACATCTTACATAACTATGGCATGTTTTGTTACCACCAAGGAGCCAACAATAGTACTTTACTACTGCCTAATCTCTACGCTTCCCTCATGTCCTTTTTATTTTCCAGGATCCCATGCAGAGCACCACATTACATGTCTCCTTGGTCTCCTTTGGTCTGTGACATTTTCTCAGATTTTGTTTTTAATGAATTTAACAATTTCACGGACATGTATTTTGGTAGAATGTTCCTTGTTTTGGGTTGATTTGAAGTTATTTTCTCCTTCATAATTGACCTCTGATTGTACCAGGAAGATCATGGAGGTGAAATGCCTTTCTCATTCTACCATACCAAAGGAGTATGCTGTGGACATCCCCTCTTGCTGATGGCGTTAACCAGATGCTCAGCCAGCAGTTATCAGGATCTCTAGTGAAACTTTCCCTCTTTTTCATACACTCATGTTTTGGAAGCAAGCCATTAAGTGCAGTCCACACTTTTATGGGGTGAGTCAGGCTCTCTGAGGGGACAGTGTCTACATAAATTATTTGGAATTCTATATGGAGATCTGTTCCTTTTATGGGAAATTTATTTTTTCTTTAAAAATTGTTAATGTCACATGTCTTTTGATAGCTCAGTTGGTAGAGGACTGTAGATTTCTTCATTGCTAGTATATAGAAATGCAATTGTTCTTATGTTGACTTTGAATTTTGCAATCTTGCTAAACTTGTTTATTTGTTCTAATAGCTTTTTTAATAGATTTTTAAGAAATTTTTACTTAATCAAGTTTCCTGCAAATAAAGACAGTTTTATTTCTTTCCAAAAAATTTATTAATGTCTAACTATATTATATTGTCATCAGTAAAATGGCCAAGTCTTCTCTACTTTTTGCAAATTGTGGTTTTCTGGAGAGATTCTAAATTATGGCCAATTTTTGTAAATGTTTTATGTTTTATAACATTTTCTTTTTTAGGTACAAGAAACTTATTGTTACTCAAATGTTTGTGACATTTGGCAATGTTTCATCCTTTGATCTGTCATTTTTAAGGAGCTACGTTATCTTTAAAGGGCCAGCATGATTATTTGAAAGCATTAATTTATATATTGTCATTTTATATTATTAGGAGTATAAAGTTTTTTTCCCTTGCTTTCATATTTCTAATATGAAACAGATTATTTAATTTCATTTAATTCCTTTTGCCTTCTCTAATATTTGTATTATCATACCTTCTTTTCCTTAGTTTGCATCTGTAGATAAACCTTTGTTCATATCTTTACAGTCCATCTTTTTTTCTCAATTTTATAGCATAGGGGTGGCTCTTTAAAAATCTGATCTATTTTATTTTTCTCTTATAACAGGGGTATAATTTGGTTACATTTACAGTGATTATTGATACACATAGGGTTATTACTTTGTTCTGTTTTCCTGCATTTTCTCATTTTTCTTCTTTTCGTCTTATACTTTATTAAATCAAGTTTTTCTTTTTCTGTTTTTTATTATTTGTAGATATCTTTTTAAAAAGTATTTATTTTTTATAGGTATGCACAATATCTTTATTTTATTTTTTTTTTTTTGTGGTGCTGAGAATCGAACACAGTGCCCTACAAATGCTAAGCAAATGCTCTACCTCTAAGCCACAACTCCAGCCCAGCTTCAGTATTGAACAGACAGTGCAGGTTCAGGGAGCTGTTTCTGACTGTGTTTGATCTGGGTCATGTGTTGTAAACAACCTCCATGTACAACTGGATATTGGAGGGAGGTAAGTGGCCCAGTCTTTAATTATCCCCAAATCCTCTTGTCACTTCCAGTACTATTGATCTTGAGCTAGTGTTTCTCTGCACCACCACTGGGAAAAGTGGCTCTGGTGTAACCCTTTCTTCTGTCTTTCTTGGATTGTCTTTTACTTGGATTCTTCTAGCAACATAATTCAAGTTGTTATCCACTTTTCCAAAATTTCTCCAAAGTCTGATTCAATGATGGAATGATTTTTTAAAAAAATTTCCAATCCTGGTCTGTCTGTTGTTATTGCAATAGGATTTTAGTAGGGAATAAATGCATGCAAGTATAATCATTTTATCGTCTGAGCAGAGAGTTAATGTGTTTTCAGTGATTTTAAATGTTATGAATTTATGAATGAACAGCTACTTGCTGTAAGTAAAAACTTTTTCTTTTTTGAAACCATTAAGAAAGTATTTTTTTTTTAATTTACTAGTTCAGACATGGAGGAGATGTAATTGCAAACTATTTGGATCCATTTTAGGTGAAAATAAATTGGCAAATTTTATTTTACATACCCATTGTTCTTTTGTAAGCATTTGTAGCCATTTGTACCTCTTTTGTAGGTAATCAAAAGTTCTCTTTCCTTCCCTCTATTTTTCTTTTTTCCCAGTTCTTCCTCCTTTCTTCTCTCTTTCTCTGGTTAGTACAGAAGTTCAGAAGTTCAGCTACACTGGGGAGAAAACTTTCTCTTAGCCCTTTTTTATGATATAAACCTTATGCTATTTCTGAAGACTTCTTGCCATTTCACTATTCTTATTTGGTCACAATGAGGCTATGGATCACTAAAATAAAGGATAATTTATAAGCATGTGTTTCTGGAGAGCATCAGTAATACTTCTGAATTACACTATAGAAGTTACCAGTCTGCATAGCAGACATTACCATAATGTTTCCTCCTCATGAAACATTCTAGTGTGGGGGTAATGGATGTTCATGAAATTTCTAATATTTATTCAGTTGCAGAGTGTCGTGATGATACAGTTCTTGGTGTGGGTGGAAGCGGGTAACCCTACTTTTGAATCATAACAATGAGTTCTTTTCAAGAGAAGGCATGAGAATAGTAGGTGCTATTTTGGCTCTATATAAAAATATTTCAGTGAACTCTATCTGCTGTCTTTTTGAAGGCACATGGGTTTTCTCTTTTCTATTATTAAATAACTTGATGTCAGGATATAAAACTCTTCAAATGACACATTCTGAAAAGAGGGGGTGCAAAATCTTATGAGGATGTATGGGTAATGAGGTGATAGCTCATTAGTCAGCTTTGCATTACTGTGACCAAAATATCTGACAAGAAAACTTGGAGGAGGAAAAGTTTAGATTGGCTTGTGGTTTCAGAGGTTGAGTCTCGGGTTACCCGACTCCATTTCTCTGGGATAAGGTGAGGCAGAACGCCTTTAGATGGTGTGATGGAGCAGTGCTGTTCCTCTCATGGCAGCCAAAAAGCAGAGGGAACCAGAGAGGACCCAGTGGGACAAGCTACAGTCCCCAAGGGGACACCCCCAGCTATCCATCTCTTCCAGCCATGCCCCAATTACCCATGGTTACCACCCAGTTAGTCCATTCAAATTAGGATGGACCAATTAGGTCACAACTCTCATAATCTTATCATTTCATCTCTGAACATTTCTTCATTAACACAGGAGATTTAGGGGAACAGCTCATCCAAACCATAAACATAGCTTCCATCAACTGTGCTATTCCTTTTCACCACGATAGTGTGTAAACATTTTTAATGACATTGGTTATAAAATATTTTTTAATGCTTTCACCAGTGCATTATAGGTAATAGTTGGGTTCATTTTTGATATAATAATACATGCATGGAATTTGATTTGCTCTATTTCGGTCCCATGTGCCTCCTCTTTCCCTCTGTCCTCCCATTTATTTATTTTAAATTTGTGCTTTATGCCAGGTGTGGTGGTGCACACCTGTAATCCCAATGACTTGGGAGGCTGAGGCAGGAGGATCAAAAGTTCAAAGCCAGCTACATCAATATTGAGGAACTAAGCAACTCAATGAGACTCTGTCTCTAATAAATTACAAAATAGGGCTGGGGATGTGGCTCAGTGGCTGAGTACCCCTGAGTTCAATTCCCAGTACCAAAAAAAAAAAAATTGTGCTTTATAAATGTACATAAGGTGGAATTCACTATGGTATGTTTATACATAAACATAGCATAATTTTGTCAAATTCATTCCACACTTCCTCCCCTTTCCCATCCCTATGCTCTCTCTCTCTCAATATCCTTCCGAAATATTTTTATATGAACTCTCTACCACTGTTCAGCAACAAACATTATTCATATTTTGATTGATATTCTTTTAAAATATTTTCATGCATATACAACAGTATATGTAATATGTTTATAATATGATAAGCATACTAATCATATTACTTTAGAACATGTAAATATCATGAACATTTTTTCATGTTATTAAATATTCTTTTATTTTATAGTGTCATTTTAATGGCTATGGTGTTCTAATGAATAAATGTGCTATAATTTGTTCAGTCTTTTAGCATTAAACTATCACAAATAATATTGTGATGGACAGTATTATTGGGTAATCAGTCTCTGATATATCATTGATTATTCCCTTAAGATAAGAATAAGATTTCTCAACCATGACACTATTGAAATTTTGTGAAAAACAAATTTTTGTTGGAAGGACTGTCCTCTGCACTTTAGGATATTTATTAACATGCCTGGCCTTTACACAAAAGATGACAGCAGCACCCCTATTCCAAGTTCTGACAACCAGAATTGTCTCTTGTTGTTGCCAGATATATATAACTAGCTTTCCATTGCTGTGATAAAATGCCTGAGAAAATCAATTTAAAGGAAGAAAACTTTATTTTGGCTCATGATTTCAGGGTTTTTAAGTCTTTACCACCTCTCAACTGCACCACCAGCTGAAGACCACGCCTTCGTGATTTGAGTCTTTAGGGGAGCATTCCAAACCCAAACCTGGAATCCTCCTGGGAGCCTGTGTCTACCCCCACTGAGAACCACTAACTCAGAGTCAAATTTGTGGAGAAGAATTTCTCACATAAAATCATATGATAGTTTAAAGTGTCAAAAAAAATCCATGTGGGGTTTTACTTTTACTTTAAAGAAAGTAATATGGAGATGTCAAGAGACAACTTAAAATTTTATGGAAACTGTCAAAGTTCTTAGAGTTCAGTGAGTCCTGGGATAAACACTATGTGATTTTTTTTTTCCTCTCCCTTTCAGCTAGGGGAAGGTGGCTCTCTGTAGCATAGCGGATGGGGCCCAGAGACACTGCAAGAGAAAGACCCAATTTTCAACCTGTTCCTCATCTTTTGACTACATAATTTGTGAGTTCAGATTTTACAGTGTTTACACATTTTTGACACCTACTATTTCCTTTTCTAGGTAGTAATTAGGGCTGATTATGTGTATAAATTTTGGAATCAGTCAGGCTAGGTTTCTGAAACTACATCTTTACTAGTTTCTAACTAGTTGATCTGAGTTTCCACAACTGTAAAATGGGAATAAGGTCTGCCATGCAGAGTTAGGTGAAATGAAATTTAAGGTGTTGCTAGTCTCTTGATAATTCTGTACACTAAAAAGTACTCATTTAGTATTATTCCTTACCGAGCTAAAAGAATAATTTATTTTTTTCAATTAAATTCTGTTCCCTGGCCCACTTAAGGAGTAAGTAAGACTTTTCTTGAAATAATTTCACTTGAAATTATTACAGCTGAGGTTGTAATAATTTAGGGATATGAATTTTATAATTGTATATAAGACACCATCATAGTAACTATGTGAGTTTTTTGGAAGACTGTCCCATTATTTATTAGAAGCTTGATTTTTTTTTACCTGTTTTAAATCTCATTTACTTTAATTTCAATTTTTATTTTTGGTAATGTTCATTGTTAAAATTAATATTGTTAAAATAGTGTGATGCATATGATTTATAAATAAAAACCACTAGGGCTGCTTGCCCAAATTTCTTTACTGCCGTGGTGTGAGAGCAACATCTATTTAGACACCACTTACCTGGAAGGTAGTTGTTACTGTCTCTGTGATTTGGAACAAAGAAAAGGAGTTGTAGATCTCACTGCCTGTTAGAATCCCCATAATGCAATGTGTATAATTTCAACATCATTATGCATGAATTTCATTGTTCTTGTGATTTTTTCCATCATTAGCAGAAGTATGTTTTAAGTGTTCTCACCCCCGTCTTTCTTTCAAGATTGGTTGAAGGAGGGAGCAAGATGAAACATTACCCTATGTCACTGATCGTACCTGGGAAGATTTTATTTCCTTCTGTTTTGGAAATGGAAAATAAAATAGAAGATTCTGTAACGTTTTGAAAAATCTAAGCTAGATATCAGGATACAAATGTCCTGATATTAAATCCAAAATTAAGTCTCCTCCCTGTTCCCTCAGGCCTCTCTGAAATATCTTAGAAGATAATGGAGATATGTCATAGGTTGGAGACATGCAATAAAATACCAGGTTTTAGAAGCTGTCAGAGTGAGTGGGTTGTGTATTTAACTGTATAAATTGTGTGTGTGTGTGTGTACGTGCATTTACATGTATCACTTATATTTGAATAAGGGAACCTACATTCCTACATTCACTGGGATCCCGGTTTATGAAGATAGTCCCCCCGCCCTTTTTACAAACTATTTTAGTTGTAGATGGACACATTATTTATTTATTTATTTGTATGTGGTGCCAAGGATCAAACCCAGTGCCTCACACATACTAGGCGAATGCTCTACCACTGAGCTATAACCTCAGCCCCTCTGATAGGCCCTTTATCCTGAACACTTCCTTTTCATTTTAACCCTTGAAAGTAAGGTAAGGGAGAAGAGAGAATTTCTATTCCTTCTCCAGGTAAGAGTTTTTGATTAAGAAAGAAATGCTAATGTAGAAATTTAAGGTCTTGCTGCATCCCACATTGGCCTGGCCCTCAGCCCAACCTCTTTATCATATCTCTCCTCAGACAACAAATAATCTGTGAGCACTTCGGGAAATTTTTATGTATGCAAAGAATACATATCTATGGACTTTTTCACAAATGAAAATCATAGCACACAAATGGATATCATATTATATTGTCATTCAAACTGCTTTTTCTTTTCACTTTGCAATATACTTGAGGTATTTCCCACATCAATATATACAGATTTGCCTCATTTTTTTCTAAAGGCTTCATAGCACCCTATAGCAAGGAATTATTATAATTAATTTTTCTATCTTCTTATTCAATGTTGTAATATCTTTGGTGTGTGTCCTTGAATACTTAGCTAGGTATACATTTATAGAAATTGGATTACTGTTTCAAAAAGCATCCATGTTTAAAATTTAGATACGACAACAGTGCATCAATTTGCCCTGCCACAAATGAGAAATTTTCCTGTGTTCCTCCAAAAAAAAAATTCTCATGTTTCATTTTTTTTTTTTTTTGGTAAATGTGGCATCTATTTTTTTGTCTTAATTTTTTTTTCTTGAATGAGTGTGCTTGATCATCTCTTCTGAAGTTCACTTTCCATATGTATCTCCTGGGACTAGGTGGCTTTATAAAATTATTGAGAGAGAGCTTTTTATTGTACTGGATGCATCCCTGTTTTTATATTTAGTGCCGCAGTCCGGCTGCAGCAAAATAACTGGGGGGTGACGAGCAACTTGTGTACATTGATACAGCAGGAGTGGGAGCCGTTTTTTGTAGGACAGGAGGGGTATATATACATTACACACAGCTTATCTTAATTAACATAAACTAGATACAGCAGTCAACCAATAAGGAATCTCCACACTTAATGGCTCGCTGGCATTACTTCACAAACCACTCCCTCTGGCAAAATGCCAGGCGCCATCTTGACTTGTTTACAGACCCTAACAATTTAGGCTTGCCATAGAACCGTAATGGAGACTACAGTGTGAATTGGCTTAAGTGAACTTGGGCTGTTCCATCAAGCAGGCTGTTTATTAAGGAAGAATCAAAACCTTTACCTGACTGACTCAGCACCCAAATTCAACAGAGATAATAGAAAAACTTATATTTCACAGCCTGTTGGCTGTTTAGTTGGCTGTGTGGGATCAGTTATGCCCACTCTTTCTGCAGGATTTTGCTCTGGGAAAAAGATTTATTGGTTAGATCTTACCTCACAATGCCATCAAGGGCTTTGGGACCTGATCCCCAATACTCAGAAGTATAGAGAAAAATTATTTAAAATGTTGGGCTCAGGTAACAATATCTACTTCACTGAGTCAAAGTAGGCGTCAAATTCTGTAGGGGTATACTACTGTCCATTGTGTTAGCTATTTTTTATGATGTTTCATTATTTTCTGAGGTTTTACTTTGTATTGGTTGGTGAAAAGCTTGCAGCCAGAAATAAACCCAAGTGGCAATTTTGAGAGGCGTGTGAAATAAAAATGTGACTAGTTATGCATGTGGATTACTAGAGGTGTAATGTATGACATAACTTTATATATGTAGTGTTGCCTGGATTGGGTGTATGTGCTATTACATGGTTTTAAAATTTATTTTCCATGAAGTTCAAATGATCTGACTAGTTTATATTCTCCAAACACTTCTTTCATCAGATTTTACTCTTAAAATTCACTGCATGGTCTTTGCAGACAAGAAAAAAATGTTTTGCATTGCCGTAGCCTTTCTGTTAAATTCAGAGAATCTACATTGTTCTCTTTCTATACTCTGAGCTCAACATTGTGTTTGATAGTCTCCCACATATTTTTCTTCTCTCAAAGACATTTCTAAAATATATTTAAGAAGTGAGATAATTTTCAGGTAATAAAATTCTGGAATACAGTAGGCTTTAAAAGAAATACATAAGAAATTTTTAAGAAAATCAGAGAGCCATTTACCTCATATTTCTAAAAATTGCTGCTATAAAATGGCTAGTTTCATTATTGTGAACTTGATAATATCACCTATGCTTTAAAAGTATTAAACTTAATTATGCTTTAAAAGTATTAAACTTAATTTGTTTGGAAATAATGTTCACTAAAAATAGGACAGAATAAGTCATATGTCTTTGTAGGTCAGCATAAAATTGATGAAAAAATTTAAGGGAAACAACATTTTGAAGATTAATCTTAATGCAGAAGTCCTTTCTTATGTAAATATTTCATAAATTTACACTGCATAATATTGAAGTTTTTCCTGATAATTTGGTATTTTGAGAGCTATTGATCTTAGTTAAAATGTACTGACTTGAAGATTTCTTAGCTTTTATTATAAGGCTTCACTGATTAAAATAAAACATATTTCTCAGGATATTCTTTGTGATGCATCTAGTCTGGTCAAACAAAATAATTAACTGCAAAAATTATTGTGTAAAAAACTAAAAAAGAATTAATTGGATGTAATTGTGGTAAAAGATATAGTTTTATTGATCAGTTAGAAAGTACAAAGGCATACTCTGTGCCTGCATATTCAATAGTGGATCCGTAATATTATTTTGTATAAAAAAGAATATTTTTAAAATGCATTATATTGTTCTATACTGAAGGGCATAAGAACAATAAGTAATATCTAAATCTTGCCAGAGAGACTTTGATGCTGGGTAGAAACACTTTATAGTCTATATATGCTGCTAGGTAGAGTAAGGGGTGGGTACACTAGTGATATAAAGTTTGTGTTAGTGTATGTTAGTAGTAAAAGGATCAGTGAAGCACATAACCTTAAGAATTTTACAACTTGAGGATGGGAGAGTATGGAGAGGCATTTATTAAACAATAAATTATAGTATAAAGAAGAATGAGAAGTAGTCATCAAAGATGAAAATGACATATTAACAATTGCTAATTTCAATATGGATTTTACTAATTGTTCATCCTTAGCTAAGGATGTCTTTTCATTGCAGATGTGATGCCATCTCCAATATCCGCCCCCATCCTTCCCATTTTATACTTATTGTGCAGTTTCTTGGATGATATTTTCTAGGATTTGCAATCTCCTTCCCTGTTGCTTAGGCTATTTGAGTAGGTTTGAGCCAATTAGCACATGGAACCCCTCTCTCTGTCCCAGGCAATGCCTAATCATATCTGCATAACAAGCAGTGAGAGATTTTCTAAATATCTGGAAGAGTTCTCCCTCACTACTCTGGGAGAAATTCTTGAAAGGATCATTTCGTTTATTCCTTTGTTTCAAATAAGAAAACCAATAGCCTGTTCAAATCTTTTGTAACTATGATGGACAGCCAACCATAGAATGAATCTGATAACCTTAGAAGGCAGAACAGAGAAAGAAGAAAAGAAACTAGGTCTTTTGGGGTTTTTTTTTTAGTTGTAGATGAACACAATACCTTTTATTTATTTATTTATATGTAGTGCTGAGGATCAAACCCAGTGCCTCACACATGCTAGGTGAGTGCTCTAGCATTGAGCTACAGCCCCAGCCCCCAAACCAGGTCTTTGATAGTGTGGCTGAGCCCCTGAATCGAAGACTACTTTACCTCTGGACTTCAAGATAAGTGAGACAATCATAAGCTTTTGTTTTGTATGCTAGTCTGAGTCAGGTTGTCTCTTCAACCATTTTAAATTATACTTAGGGATCATCTCTTTCAAACTTCATTACAACTCTGTGATGTAGGTGGCATTACTATCACCATTTTAGAGAGGAGGAGACAGACCTAGAAAGGTTAGATAACCTGAATTGCAGTACCAGTAAGTGGTAAAGCCATGCATTTATGTCTGTAGTTTCACCCAGGGACACATTCCTAACTACCACATCTTATAACTTTACATGCTTTGGGGAGAGGAGAATATCAGTCCAATGATAGAAAGCTTATCACAATGGGGGAAACATCGATGGAGACCAGCAGGCAGAATTTGAATCAACAGAAGATCTAACAGAAGGGGCAGTTTGGGAGCAGAGGAAATGAAGTACCTGGGGCTGGGGCCTCAGTCATGTGTAGTTCTTCAAGAGGATAAGAGAAGAGAGGATGAATAAGAAAGCTTGACCAGCATAGTGGGGATGGGGACAGGGACATTAAAAGACCAAGAGGGAGACCAGAAAAGGATGGAGAAATTTAAAAGGAGGTCTCTCTGAAAGAAAACAATGAAACTGTAGAAGGAGAAAAATTGAGGCTCATACTGACCTATTTCTAATTCCTAAGTTATTAGCATAATGGGTTAAAGGATGGGTTAGAAAAAAAAAATGTCACATCCCCAGGCTCTGTATACATCTGAGTTTAGTATTATTATGATCAAGGAAAACCCAGGATTCACAGGCTTTGGTTTGGGAGGGTAGAGGAACCATTACCAAGGGGAGCTTCAGGATGCGGCTGCAAGGGTTCAAAGGCGCATGGAAGGACTGCTAGAGGTGTGGAGATGGGTGGGCACAATTGTGTTGGGGGGCTGGTAGGCTGGTAGGCTACCAGTGTGAGGGGGCTGGTAGGCTGGCAGCATGCACATTTTGATCCATGTATTAAAACAGATGAGGCTGAGAACTGTCCAAAGGGAAGAGGCTGTTTCCAGGTTGAACAGCTTCCCTGGTGGCTTGTCCCTGTGTGGACTCCTTCAGTTCTGACTGTAGTGCATCATGTCCCGCAGGCAGAAGGAGCTGAGGTGGCTATGGCAACCTGAGAAACCTCAAACAATGTTAATATTCACCAACACATGGAGCCTGCGATCCTTTAAAAACAACAAAACATCAGCAGTGGGAAACAACCTTGTAATTTGTAACTGTGGCCTCTGGAGAAGCACAGAGTGCATTTATTATTTTTTAATAATCAGTCACAAATTAACTAATTGCTATAATCCTTAAACCTGTCTTTCCCTCTAGCTCATCATTATCTGCAGATGTCAAAACAAGTAAAACAAATGGACTCGATTACTGTCAGATGTTTATTGAAAATAATTGTTCTAAAAAAAGCCTGTGAGTCTGACAGCAAAAGCACCTTTCTGAATACCGTTACTTTACCTTTCTCTTTTTAGGAGCTAGGGCAGAGAGGGGTGCTTCCTTGATCTTCTTCCCAGCTCCAAACCAAGTGGAACAGCTAATCATGTTTCAAACTACCTTCACAAGAGCCCAGGAAATAAGGTGAGAGACCACAGTGCCTGGTTTTAGTTCAGCGTAATGAAAAGACATTGAAGAAGGTAAAAAGAGTTGTCCACATCATTCATTTCAGCAGGCCAACACCTTTAAGCATCACCCCTTTAAGCTGGGGAGAAAAGCAAGTGCCAGGCCCGCCATGTGAAACCCTGTGCTGGACACAGCCCTGAGACTCCTGTGCTAGGCTGAAACTCTCCTTGCTACCCAGCCACTAGAACTATTTTTTAAATTTTTTTTTTTTTATTGGTTGTTCAAAACATTACAAAGCTCATCTCACTGTAGCCATCACCTCTCCTCTAGCCTCCTGTAGCAGAGTAGGGAGCAGAACCCCATCCACTAGAGGGCAGTACTCCAAAGGTAACACTTAGAGCTCAGCATCAGGGCTGCATCAGTGAGACCAGCACCCAATAGAAACTGTAAGCCTGGTACCCAGAGCTCACAGCCTAAGCCTCCAGTTCAGCCCCGCCATTGGGTGAGACCTGTGTGCTGATGGGACAACATGAGCTTCAGCTTGCATCATTTTCCAGGCTTTTAGTGAGTGTGGGGCACATCCTCTGTTTCCTAAGATTGTACAGGTCTGTGTGGCCGTATGATTCAGGTGTGACCCAGCATGTGTGCAGTTTGGGTGACAAGGAATTGTCTCTATCACCAATTCCCCATGCTTGGGCAGCAAACTTATCACAAGGCTAGTGTTTGTCTGTGGGGCTCTAAAAAATACTCCTGTGTCAGGCAGAGACCTTCAGCCCAGTGGGATGGGCTTGTGTTTCAGCCTGCCTCACTCCTAGCTATGGCATGGGCTGAAGGTCCTCGTCGATATGAGACTCAGGTGTGCCTCTGCTTAGTTAGCATCAGCCTAGGTGGCAAGGGACCATCTCCACCAACACTACCCCAATTTTGGGCAGGTACAAATCTGGAAGATTAATTATACAGAAAAATTCAGGATGCTCCAATATAAAAAAAATGGTGCATAAAACATTCATGTCTTTGGTATGAAGACTAAAAAATAAAAACTTTAAGTAACAATTACATTATTATTAAAAAGGGACAATACAGGAAGATATAAACTGGGATATGAAAAGTTCAAAATATGAGGATCAATGGAAAACAAATAGAGAGTTTTATTATTATATTTTCTTTCATTCTGTTTGTTTCTGTTCTTACCATATGATCATGTTTATTTACTATCATTTAAAAACAGCTTTTTATAATCAAAAGATATTTTTGATAAGCCTGATGGTAACCACAAAGAAAAAGTTCATAGTAGACAGACCCTAAATAATAAGCAAGAAACCAAAACACACTACTGGAGTAAATCACTTAACCACAAAAGGTAGAAGGTAAGGGAGAAAGGAAGAAAGGAATTGCAACAAAACTAGAAAACCAGTTACATAATGGCTGTAATAAGACTTTATCTATCAAGAACTACTTTGAATATTAGTGGATTAAATTCTCCAGTTAAAAGACATAGTGACTGGATGAAAATAAAATCAAAACCCAATGTACATTGTTCACAAGAAACTCACTTCACCTCTAAAGATACACAAAGACCAAGAGTAAAGGGACTGAATAAGACATTCCATGCAAATGGGATCCAAAAAAAGTAAGAGTAGTCATACTTATATCAGAGGAAGAATAGACATTAAATCAAAAGCATTAAAGAGAGGCAAGGAAAGTTAGTATATAATTATAAAGGGGTCACTTCAGAAAGAGGAAATAACAATTCTAAATATATATGCACCCAATGTTGGTGCATCCAAATATATGAAACAAACCTTTGTAGACTAAAGGAGAGACAGACTACAGGACAATAATAGGTGGAACTTTAATACCCCACTTTCAGCAGTGGACATGTCATCTAGACAGGAAATCAACAAAGAAATAGCAGAGTTGAATTGAACTCTAGACCAAATGGATCTAACAGACATCTACAGAATATTCCATTTAACATCTGCCAAATACACATTTTTTTTTCTCATCAGGACATGCAATATTATCCAGCATACAGGGTACAAAAGAAGTCTCTACAAATTAAAAAGAAAATAAATCACATCAAGAATCTTTTTCAACTACATTGCAATAAAACTAGAAATCAAAAACAAGAAAAACTTTGGAAACCATATAATACATGAGAGTTAAACAACTTATATTTGAGCAACAAATAGATTAAGAAAAATAAATCATGAAAAAAATTAAAAAGTTCTTGAAACGAATGAAAATGTAGACATATCAGACAACAAAACCTGTGGAACATGGCAAAAGCAGTACTAACAGGGAAGTTTATTTCAGCACTCAGTGCCAACATTGCAAATAAACAACCTATTTCATTCTTCTTGATTGTGGAATAGAATTCCTGTGCATATATGTCATTGATATGTCATGTTTTCCTTATACATTCACATGTTGATGGATATCCAGGCTGATTTCATAACTTGGCTTTTGTGAATAGTGCCACAATATGGTTATGTAGGCATCTATCTCTTTTAGATTTTTGAGGGAACTCAGTACTGTTCTCCATAGTGGCTGTATTAGTTTACATTCCCACCAATAGTGTATAAAGGGTTCCTCTTCTCTACATCCTCATTACCATTTATTGTTTTTTGTTTATTTTACCGTAGCCGTTCTTGGTTGTTTGAGGTGGATGCATGCCATTTGCAAGGAAATGAATGGAACTAGAGGTCATTTTGCTAAGCAAGCCAGACACGGAGACAAGTATCATGTGTTCTATTTCTTATATGTGGAAACTGAAAAATAAAAAAAAAAATAAAGATGATCTGAATGTAGAGAGGAACTATTAGGGAAGGAGAAACGAACTGGAGGAGGAAATAGAAAGGGGAGGGCAAGAGAGGGAAGTAGAGAGGGTATATATGATTAAAGAATGGTATATGCATGCATGGAAGTGTCACAGTGAAACACAGTGACTTGTATAATTAATAGGAGTTATATTTATAATAAAATGAGATAAAAAACAACCTATTGATATGCTTCAATGAACTGAAAAAAAAACACAACAAAATCCAAAATTAACAGAAGAAAAAAAATAAAGATCAAAGCAGAAATAAATGAAATGAAGTTTAAAGAAGCAATACAAAAAATAAATGAAACAAATGGCTGGTTCTTCTTCAAAAAGATAAACAAAATAGACAAACCCTTACCCAGACTAAAAAAGAGAGGGAAGATTCAAATAAATGACACTGTAGATAAAAAGGGATACATTATAACTAATATCACAGAAATAGAATCAGAGATTATTATGAGCAACTATAGGACAACAAATTGAATTATCTAGAAGAAATGGACAAATTCCTAGACACCTACATCTTACCCAAGATGGAAACCTTAACAGACCAATAACAACTAAAAAGATTTAATCAGTAATAAAAAGTCTGCAGGCAGTGAAAAATCCAGGACCAGATGGCTTCATTGCTGTGTTCTACGAAACTTTTAAAGAACTAAGTAAGACCAATTCTTCTTGAGTTAAATTTCATTTAATTTAAGAGAAAGTAAATTTTCCAAACACATTCTACACTACAAGCATTACCTTGATACCAAAACTAGATAAAGACATTAAAACATGCATGTGTGTGTGTGCGTGCACACACACACACACACAACTATAAGCCAATATCCTTGATGAACATAGACACAAAGATTTTCAAAAAACTACTAGCAAATGAAATCCATGGCATGATAAAAATTTATTCACAATTATCAAGTGGGTTCACTCCAGGGATGAAAGAATTTTTTCCATACATGCAAGTCAATAGGCACAAAATATCACATCTACAGAATAAAGGACAAAAACTATATGGTTATCTCAATAGTTGCAGAAAAGGCACTTGATAAAATTTGACATTACTTTGTGATAAAAATCCTAAACAATTAGGTGTAGAAGGAGAGTACCTCAACATAATAAAGGCCATTTACAAAACACATAAACAACCAACAAATAAACAAACAACAACAGGGAAAATAATATTGAATAAGGGAAAAGCTAAAGCTTTCTTTCTAAGTTCTAGTCCAAGAAAAGGATGCCCACTTCACCACATTTATTAATAGGGTTCTGAAAATTCTAGCCATAACAATCAGGCAAGATAAAGAAATGAAACGCATCCAGATTGAAAAGAAGTCAAATTGTCACTGTTTGCAGATGACCTGATATATATACAAAACCCCTCAACTTAGAAAAAATTAATTCAGCCACATTGCAGTAGGCAAAATCAGCATATAAGATCAGTAGCATTGTTAGATACCAGTAGCAAACTATCTGAACAGAAATTTAAAAAGTAATCTCATTTATAATAGCTTAAAAAAATACCTAGGAATGAATTTAAACAAAGAGGTGCAAGACCTTTGTAGTGAAAATTATAAAATGTTAAGGTTGGATATTGAACAGGACATAAAGAAGTTGAAAGAAATCTATGCTCATGGATTAGAAGAATAAATATTGTTAAAATGTTCATACTGTCCAAAGTGTCCTATAGATTCAATGCAATCCCTAGCAAAATGTCAGTGGCATTCTTCATAGAATTATAAAAAAATATCCTAAAATTTATATGGAATCATATAAAACCTCAAATAGCCCAAACCATATTTAACAATAAGCATAATGCAGAAGGCATTACACTAGGTGATTTCTAAATATATTGCAAAGGTATAGTATATCAAAACAGCATAGTACTGAATAAAAACTGACACACAGATCAATGGAACAGAATAGAGAGCTTAGAAGTTAACTTGTGCAACTATAGTGAACTGAATTTCTACAAAGGCGCTAAGAATGTGCACTGGAGAAGGGACAATCTTTCCAGTAAAGGGTATTTGGAGAATTGGATGCAGCCGAATGAAACTAGGCTCCTCTCTCTCTCCGTTTACAAAAAAATAACTCAAAATGGATTGAAGACTTGAATGTAAGACCTGAAACTATGAAATTACTTGAAAAAAAAATATAGAGGAAAAGCTTAAGGACATTAGAATGGGTGAGGATTTTTTTTTTTTTTTGACAAGTGTTCCCCAAACACAGGAAATAAAAGCAGAAGTAGACAAATGGAATTATATCAAACTAAAAAGCTACAGCACAACAAAAGAATTAATCAACAGAGTGATTGCATGAGAAGTATTTGATAATTATGATTCTGACAAGCGGTTGATATTCAGAATATATAAGGAAGTTCCAAAATTCAAAAGCAAATGAACAAATATCTTATTAAAAAAATAGGCAACAGTTCTAATAGGAATTTCTCAAAAGAACATTTATAACTTGGAAGACAGGTACCTGAAAAAATGTTGAGCATCTCTAATCATCAGGGAAAGGTAAATACAAACCATGAGGTATCACTTCGTCTCAGTAAGAATGATCATAAACAAACAAACAAACAAACAAAAAAACTGAAGATAACCAGTGCTTCTGAGAATGTAAAGAACAGGAAACTCTTAAGTACTTGGTGAGAATTTTAATTACTAAAGCTGTTATGGAGGAAAAACTGACTAAACAATGACTATTAGTGCAACTGACTTGGCATTAACTCCTCACATCCGCCTGAGGCCTCAGTGTTAGTTTATGAAGGACTAGATGTAATATGCCCACATTAGAGGTTTTCTTTTGTTCCTTTACTCCTCCTTTTCCTTTCCCTTTGGTCCCAAGTGACAATCCATCAGTGAGGAGTTGAACAATGATGAGGTGAAGAAAGGGAAATGGTATTGGTGACTGGACTGCTGAGCTAAGACCGTGTGTGCAGTGTGATTTTAAGAAACCACTGATCCTGTGCAGGTTGGTCAATAGGAAAACACAAGGAAGGTGTGGTGTCTATCTGATTTGTGGTGTCTGTTGGGGGCACTGAGTAGAGAATGTGGGTATTATTATTTCTTTCTTGAAAGGTGACTAGGTAGGTTTAGGCAGGGACAGAGGTCAGCAAAGGATCCCCTTGCTGGCATTGTGCATTCTGGGTTCTGTGTCTGTCTTTATGCAGTTGACACAGAAATATGATGAAACTGTAGAGAGATGAGGAATGTTCAGCATTGTGTGTGTACTGTTTGTGTATTCTACAAAACGTGCTCTCCATGTGGTGTTTTAGCATGGTAGGTGCTTTTAGTCATAGAAGTATCAGTATCAGACAGAAACCTGTGGATAGAGGCAGATATTTTAACTTTTGGCTTGGGTCATGGAGTCTAAAAATAAAGAATTTCTTGGAAATTCTTAATGTATTTTTTAATGCAGCAATGCCAAGGAACTGTAATTCTTGCCATGGATTGTAAATTAGCAGCATATAGACCAAATTCAGTCTTAAAATGTCTACTTCTTTCTGACACTATTTTTATAAAAAATGGAACAAGTTATCAATATAACCACGCAAATAATCAGAAAACTAGGAAATTTTACCTAAAAGTCTCAGTCTCTAACCTTTCCTAGAAAATTCAAACACATGGCAATATTGGCTAAGGAGTAAGGAGTGAATCCACCAGTTACTTTTAGTCTCTGCTTTGTCATTCCTTATCAGTTCAGACTTGAGAGCACAAGCTCTGCAGGCAGGATGCCCAGGTGTGGGTTTCCTGCTCTTCCACTTAGTCTTGGAACTCTGGTCAAGCTAGATAACCTTTGTGTTTTCTCATCTGCACAGTAGAGATGCTGTCTCAGTTATTTGGGCTGCTATAAAATTATACCACCATCTGGATGACTCAAACAGCAGACAGTTATCTCTCTCTAACCTGGAGGCTGGGAAATTCAAGACCAAGGTGCTGGCAAACACTGTGTTTAGTGAGGACATTTCTCCTGGTTTGTAGAAATCTGTCTTCTCATTGCTTCCTCACAATGAGAGTGAGCCATATGCAGAGAACACAGGGTGCTCTGGATTCTTTATCTACAAGGGTTACAAACCCCATTTGTGAAACCTCCATCCTCAACACCTTCCAAAGGCCTTGCCTCCAAATGTTATCATATTTGGGATTTAGGCTTCAGTGTATTAATTTTAGGTGGACGTAAGCCTTCAGTCCACAGCAGATGATGATAATACCTGCAATCATTAGAGTTGTTAAGAGAGTTGCATTAAAAGAGATTAGAGAGTTAAAGTACACATAAAGACCGTAGAATATAATATCAATGGGCGTGCCTACTCTGATTATTATTGTTTTTAGATTAATTAGGTGTTTGCTTCATGACCAGTCTGGGCTGTAATCAGTGCAGGGATCCCAGTCACACATAGAATAATTTTTCCCCAATTAAATGACTGAATATTTCATTACTATGATTTTTGGCTACACAATAGGATAGTTTAAAAATATTTCTTTTTTTTCTTTCTTATAGAATGAAGATAAGAAAAATAAAAGAGAATAAGGTAATGTATATATTTTAGTATGAACAATTTCAAAAATTCAAAATGATTAAAAAAATTTGAATGAACATTTGTATAGCCTCAACCTAAGTGAACAGTGAACATTATGCCGTATTCCATTTCTTAATGTTTTTCTTTTATTTGATGAAATGACAGTAGTCATAACTCTTTATCTTAAATCCTTTTGTATGTATCTTCTAAGGAGAAAAAAATTCTCTATAATACTATTGTTATACCTAACAAAATAATCTTAATTACATCCTATTTATATAATACACATTTATATTTCTTGCAATTTCTTATGTATTTTTAATCTTTTTATTTCATTTCATTTTATTTATTTACTTTTTTGGTGTAGAAATTGAACCCAGGGCCTTGTGCTATGCTAGGCAGGTGCGCTACCCCTGAGTCATAGCCCTAGCCCTTTATGTGTTTTTATAAAGAAGGGTCCAATGGATTTTCAAATGTTGTGATGATTTATAATCTCTTATTTTAGAGGAATTGCTTCATTTCTTTTTAAACTTTAAATTGAGGTATCATTGATACAAAACTCTATGTATTTAAAGTATACAACTTGATAATGTTCAGCATGCATACAGTGTGAACTCTATCCACCATCAAGGAAAACATACATCACCCCCAATTTTTCTTTATGACCTTCTCTAATCTTTCCTTTCAGACCTTTTCTGCCCCTCTTTCACCCCACCCAAAATACATGTCTTTAGATTTCATAAAAATGGAATTACCCAGAATGTACTATTTTGTACCTGTCTCCTTTTCTTCAACATGTTTATTCTGCATTCCTACATGGTCTCTTATGTATCAGTAATCTGTTCTTTACTTACTGGGCTGCATTTTATCTTGTGGATATATTGTAATTTGTGTATTTGCTTATTGATGGACATTTGGGTTGTTTCTATTTTTTTTGCTTTTACATATAATGTTGCTGGGAATATTTGTATGCAGGTCTTTATATAGGCTATGCTGTTTATCTTGAATATGTTTCAAGACTGGAATAACTTAATCATATAGTATGGATATGTTTAACATTTAAGAAACTGAAAACTATTGTCTAAAATTTATCATTTCATATTTTAACTAGCAGGATTAGAGAGTTCTGGTTCTTCCATGCCAAGACATAGTGAAGTAAATTTCTGAAATTTTACCCATTATAATGGCTGTGATTAAATTTTTCTTTCTTCTTTCCTTCCTTTCTTTTTCTTTATTTTTCATTGTGTGTTTTTGTTTTACATGACATTCACTTTTGAGGAGTCCCACAAAAACAGTCTTTTAGTATGAGCTACATTGAAGAATTTGTGAAAGTGTTTTACAGGGTGCTTTATCTGGCCCTTTATATTTCATAGTCTTTGGCAGGCAATCACATTGTTAATTCTCTGATTAGTAACTCCAGATGAGGATGGATGTAAGGCAGGAAGTATTTTCTCATGTTACAATATTGGGAACTTATAAATATTTATTCTGGAAAAACTTCATTATTTAAAAACAAAACAAAACTAATCCTGTTGAAAACCTCAAATTTTATCCTGCCTTCAACTTCAATATAGAAGTAGAATATCTTGATCAGTCTATCACATTTGTTTGAAGTGTATTTTTGTATGATAATTTTTACTCTCTTAAGCTAATAATTTGTGAAGCAAAAAATATAATTTTTATTTTAAGACTTCTATCTTCAAGGAAAGTTAACAAAACATACAAATCTTTAAAAGGCAAGTTTCATGTGTTTAATTCCTTACATTTTGGTTCTTGACTGGGGAAAAAATTGTACTGTGAAGTGTTTGACACTGATCTATCATGCATGCCCTTTAACACTTTGCCTTGAGTAGTAAGTGTTTTTAGATGAACTGACAAGGATCTTCAGGAATATATGTCCTCCCTATTTTGAATTTGTACTTTGGAGTTATGAAAGGAATATCTATTTGAATAGTAGAAAATCTTAAGATATAAATTAGAATTTTCCTTCTTCACTTTTTCCTCTTTTATTTCTTTGTATACTATGTAGTTAAAACCAATCCTCAAAGCAAATTTATGGTTACATATTTAAAACCTGGTTTGTTGGGGTTCCCTAAGCAATGCAGTATAAAAGTTGCCCTTGTTTTATAATATTGTATACTTCTGATAAAGTAGAAATAAGAAAAAAGTCATTTTGCTTATTGATATGTAACTATTTCATAAGCCAGTGATCTTTATGGGTGTATCCCAGTGGGTTAAGCTTGAAAATGAAAAACCAGCTGGTGTGGTAGAGCACACTGGTAATCCTAGAAACTCAGAAGGCTCAGGGAAAGCTGGGGCTGTAGCTCAGTGGCACGTTCTTGCCTACCATGTGTGAGGCACTGGGTTTGAGCCTTAACACAACATAAAAATAAACAAATAAAATAAAGGCGGATTGTCTATCTGCAATTAAAAAAAAGGCTCATGGAAGGGGGATTCCAAGTTTGATGTCAGTCTCAGAAAATTAATGAGGATTTCAGAAACTTAGTGAGACCCTCTCTCAAAATAATATGGGCTAGGGATGTGGCTAAATGGTTGAGCATACCTGGGTTTATCCCCTGGTACCAATAAATAAATAATAAGCATGAAATTAAAGAAAATTGAAAATCGTCAATTTTGTGGTTTCCAAATGCATAGAGGAAATTTTTAAGATAAGAGTCATCATATAATAACAAGAATCAATCTCCTTCTATCTTTGGAGAGGTCAAATTTTCTAAAAGGCAGTGGGACATAATATCCTACAGCTAGAATAGATATGAGAAATCATCACAGTAAAGCATCAATGACTCCTAAGTGTTTTCCTATTTATTAGGTGCCATAGTTGGAATGTCTTATTTCACTGCATTCTCTCAGCAACCTTTCCTTTTTGTGTTACTATTTCCACCATTTAATGAGGAATCTAAAATGGAGAGGTTAAGGAAGTTGATTAAGGTCATATAATTCATTTGCTCAACACTTTTATCTTAGGAGTATGGCTTGATTGGGTTCCTTTCAAGGTCATGTGTAAGCAGCAATTCTTGGAAATTATTTTTGGGCATAGGGTTTAAAAAGCCAAAAATTCCTGCTAGCATAACAACAATTGTTGGTTTTCTGAACTTTCATGATTTAATTTGCCTACCAAGAAATCCTTTTTCCTGTTGCAAAAGCTCATAATATGTACAAACTCCAAAGCCTGGCTTGAGTCTCCTGTAAGATGTTTATTATTGACTGAAATATAAAAAAATTCTGTGCTATTGAAGAAAAATGAAGGGATGTCGTGTGTGAATAAATCTCGTGTTAGTTGCTGAAATTGGGGTTTAATGCTCATTAGAACTTTTCAGGTCCCTGTGTAGGTCTTGCCTGTGTCTAATGTGGTGAAGGTTAAGAAAAGGGATATAGAGAGAATGTACCAGTAGAACAGATAATTTGTTAAACAACTTCCTCTAAGCATAAAATTTGATTAATTAGGATAAATTATATCAAGTGTCCTGAATTTAGTATGAGGACTTCATTAAAGGTAATAAAATAATGATTAGCTTCTTCTATGAAGAGAATGTTCTGTAGGCTAAGTGCAGGATGCCTCCTGGCCTTAGCTGGTGCTTTGGGTCCCATTGAGGAGGATTAATCAGTTCTTCTTGGGGTAAAAATCTAGGGACACTGAAGGTTGTGCGAACTAGCACCCATGGATATGATCAAGTTTCAAGAAACTTCCCAAAGTGGCAATATCACAAAAACATAATATTCAAAAGAGGATTTTTTGGTAAGAGAAATAGTAGTAGCTTTCTCTTTTCTAGGTCTCGGGACAACCCTGTAAGTGGGTTATAATGCAAATGGTGATTCTTATTTAACCAATAAATATAACGATTAGAGAAATTAGAGAAGTTGCTAGGCCAAGTAATTCTGCCACAATTTTCAGAGGTGGATGGAACTCCAGGTTTGCCTAAGCATGTGTCCCCTTCTCTGATCATGCTACATCGTGTCTTTTTTTAAATAATGCTTTACATAAGATATAAGTGGTAAATATTTCACTCTTTTCATCAAAAGTTTGTCCTAATGTTCTATGTTGCAATTAAACTTTCATGTGTATGGAAAATTACAAGTTTGAGAGAAATGATAGGTGGAAACAACGAAGAATTAAAAACACATATATTGTATTAAGATACCAGCAGAAAAGGGGTGGCATATTTATATTGAATAATTTTAGTTAGAAGAGGCATTAAATATTAAAAGAGGTATATAATAAAGGTATAATTACAAATACATATAAAGATTTAATATCTTATTCTTCTCAGGCTGCTGTAACAAAATACCACAGATCTGTGACCTTAAGTGACAGAAATGTGTTTTTCTCACAGTCCTTGAGCCAGGAAGTCAGTGAGCCAGCATGGTCCAGTTCTTGATGAAGACTCTCATCAAGGGTCTTGATGCATATGGCTGCCCTCTTACTTGTCTTGTCTGTGGTAGCATATGGCAGGGAAAGACAGAACTTTCTGATATCTTTTCTTTTAAGTGCACTAATACCATCATGAAAGTCCTGCCCTCAGGACATTATCTAGAGAGAGACAGAATTTTTTTTAATATTTATTTTTTAGTTTTCGGTGGACACAACATCTTTATTTTATTTATTTTTATGTGGTGTTGAGGATCGAACCCAGCACCCCGCGCATGCCAATGGAGTGCGTTACCGCTTGAGCCACATCCCCAGCCCTCAGGACATTATCTAAACATCATTATCTAATGATGTCTCCAAGTCCTCATTTCCAAATGTGACTGTACTGCAGTGGTTGGGACCTTAATATGTGAGGTTGGGGGGAACATTATTGAATCCATAGCAGTTATAAACCCCACAAGGGATACTTCAGTGCCCTGGGACTAGAATCAATAAGAAGTTACCACTCTTAGGCTTGAAAGAGCTAGCAATTGTTTGGCCATTGATGTCTCTTTCTGGAGAAAGAAAGAATGGTTATGGTGTGGTCCACCTGGCAGGATTGGTAACTGTTGTTAGGAGAGGCAGACAG